TTTTTTCTCGAGGGCTTCAATGATCGTGTGGCATCGTTTTCGTTTTCTATGCCAGCTAGTTAATTTCTGCTGCCATTTTTTACCAATGGGGTCAAATTCAAGGCCAAATCTAGGGTCAAAGGTAAGATATGATTATGAATATCGAGTATGACCTCTATTGATCGATACATGTTGTTTGCTGTCTTGCAGTGCTCGTTGCAAGGGTACCGCTGACATAAGCTGCATGTGTTATATACCACAATAAGGTGGACATAGGCTACTTACATGACGACGCACTGAAGAGGGCGATTTCAGCTGGTTGGGTACGCTTAGTCGCGTTGCCATCTTTATATTTCCTATGTGAAACCCTGCAAAGCCAACTTTCACGACCTTTCGACGGCAACTTCCTTGCAACTAGTGTTATGTAGCTAAGAGACTCAAATTAGTTTCGTTACTTCTTCCGCAACTCTACCCATTTCTCAAAATTCAAGATGGCCGCCGCCGCCGTCTTGCATGTTGGCCCAGATTCAAAGCTTTATTTTATTGATGCACGGGGTCCAAGTCAAGGCGAAATACAAAATCAAAGATCAAACATTATCATGAGTCACCAAAATCCATTCCATTGATCGATGTATGCCGTTTGCTGTCTTCTCGTAATCATTGTAAGAGTACAACTCGCTGCAGCTGTACGTGTCATAAGCTACAACACTAAGACCATGTGCTACATGCACGATGTATGCATTATATGAGACTATAATACATACATCGACATGTACCATCGGATGTACTACAGTGCACGTTCCGAAACTCGTCGCTGCAAAGCGATACGCTATGAGTGATACGCAAGTCTACCAGGATGTGATATCTTAGCTCACAAATCATGTTACTATAGCGATATATCATAGGCGTAGGAACGTTTCAAAAAGTGGGGGGGGGGGCAAGCGAGCTTTTCCTGAAAAGCGAGCCCGATGACCGGGGAAGGGGGGGATAAGAATAGAGATTGTTATCGCTCTTTATTCAAATGTCATGGCTGATATGCTAGATATGCATCTAGAGCTGTTAATCACTGGTGCGCAATCTTACCTATTCGACTCACCTGTCATTTGGCAAATAGGGCTATCCAGCCTCTGTAGATTATTCGTCCATTTTAACGTTGACTTTCTTGGGCAGACGAAATTCCACGAGCAGTTAGGTATTTTGGGTCATTAAAGAAGTATTTGCCTCCACAGTGTAGATGCCAAAATACGGCATGGATACAGGCTGGTGAGAATTTTGAAAGTGGATCGATGGCTCACAGTGCGCCAGGTTTTTTATGCGCCTTCATTTCGTTAGCTGCTTTTCAAGAAATAACACTTGTCGCAGCATTTTAGGCGGAAACAAATTCGGTAGCTTGAAACTGCTAGAAACAATGTGACAAAATCCATAAAACTGGAGATTCTCTTTTAAAAATCAAGCCACATAATAAGGTCCATCTGTCATATGTTCCTTAACTGGGCCCTGCTCCTGTCCGCCGTCGGTGGTCACTGCCCTGGCTTGGATGTCTCCTGCATGACTGCGAGCTGATCGTGTGGCTACTTTGTTGCATACTTTTGGATCAGCGTTACTTCTACATAGTGTATGTGTACTACATGTGTTGGACACCTGCAACAGTATTTTTCCCGAATTATCTTCCCTTATACCACAATATCGCAGAAAAATAGCCTCCGGGAATCTGTCTACCTTAGGCATGGATTGGCCCAACGGACACTTCATTACCCATCATGCAAAGTAAGCGACTTGATCTGCTTTTGTGTGTAGGCAGGGGCGTAGCCAGAGCCTTGCCAAGAGGTAACACAGGATTGACAAAAGCCCATCTTATGGTGGCCCCCCCCCCAAAAAAAAATTCCCGGATATGGCTTGCTTGTTAACAAGTGACGCGGTTTTCTTCGTTTTACTGTTATTGTTACCTTGTAACCGGTATAGAAACCAGGCGCTACCGTGAGCTCAATTCTGTTTGCATTTTGAGGTCAATGAGCTGCAGAAGTCAGAGGTTGAACCGCTGCATGGAAGAAATCACCGGCGCTCTTAATTTGCGATGGTTATCTGACTATTTCTAAACCGATATAATTCAGAAGCTTTGTCAATTTTTTTTCTGGGTTGTACAGACATTGAAGACATCGCGAAGGTAGATTGTAGATCGATATGTTTGATCCAAATTTGAAGACGAAAATTTGATTGCAAATCGAATGGTCAAAAATGTACATTAACATGGCCAAGCCATACTTGTCTGAAAATGTTCACCATTCAGTCAAAATCCATCAGTGATACAATTCATGTAACGTGTTTTTTAATGTGCTCGCTCGCAAACCTTAGCAAGAAAAACCTCAACACCACGCGTTGCAGTCTCCATAATCCGCGGAGCGTTAGCCCAGTAGCTAACATTTAGCTGTTGCCCACCGGTGGACAAAAATGATTGCGCTTCCGAAATAATTACTTTTAAACACTTAAATCAACTATTTATACAAGTTATGTTGCATAATTGTGAGCATGCGCACTCGAAAGTTTTAGAAACACAAGCCTCAACCCCAGGCGTTGCAGTCTCCGTAGGCCGCGCAGCGTCGGTCTAGCAGCTAATATTAGGTTGTGGCCAACGGGTGGACAAAAATGACGGCGCTTCTGAGAAAGTATCATTGGACGCTTCATCACATCAGATCTTGTATTTAGAAGGCAATCTGAGGGCATATTTCACGCGCGCAATTTTTAGATCGATGAAAAGAACGGATTTACCCCTAAAGCACCGCGAAGTGGGCTGGAATCTGGTGGTTGAACTGGAACAGTGAAGGTAAAATCTCTAGTTTTCGTGTTTCCGCCGCTATTAATCTGTCAAGAAGGTAGATTAACACGGCGCCCACCGTCTAGTGGCACTTGCAGTGGCCGAAACTTATCGGTTTTACGGAAGTTGCAACCCAGACCATCCTTGTCCTTGCTCTCGGGGTTGCGAGCGGTGTGTTCAAGCCTTTTGGTGTATTTTGTTTCAATAATACATTGTGAAAGACATGAACGTTCTCAGGCAAACATGGCATGACCTTGCTCGTTTTTAAATTAATTTCGACCCGCGCTTTTCAACAATAATGGGAGCCCACTCTACTCAACAATAATGAGAACCCTTATTCCCTTCCGGGCAAGGGGCCTCTTGAGTAAAACACCAGGGGTACAGTACCGTTTCCGGTCAAGGGCGGAAGGGCCATTCCGTCCCAATGCGAAGTGTCTTCTGGCTATCATCCTGGTGGCACGGGGCGGGATCTCCTGGTTGATCCGGGGGTCTTTAGAAGGATATATCATATCACATTGTTCCCATCCCTGACACGGAAGGCCTTCTGATCCGCACAGTTAGCCCCGTATCAGCACAGGGACATTCAATGACGCAACAACATCCCTGATCACCGCAGGCAGTCCGATGCTTTTCACATAGACCCAAGTTCCATGTTTTCTGTGTTCTTCAGAGATATTGAATGCTCCCTGACTGTAGATTACGGATGAAATGGAGTTCATAATTTGTGTTAACATGGCTAGCCCATGTTCGTCTTATAATGCTCGAGATCCTGTCAGAGCTGATTACTAATAGAAAACTACGTGATATGGTGTTGAACATGCGTGCTTGCAAGTCGTGGCAAAACAGCCTCGACGCCCGGCGTTGCAGTCTCCAGGCCGTGCGGCGTCGGCTTTGCGGCTGTAACACTAAGTGACGGTCAATGAGCAAACGAAAAAGATGACGCATCTTAAGGGGGATGGCAGGTAAACTAGGTAAGTCGGCATGCATGTTTAATGCAGTGCAAAAGGAAGCCAAATCAAAAAAGAAAGTCAAATTCAACCTTAATCTGAAATGGGGGTGGGCAGTTGACATTGCTGGCCCCCCTCCTTGAAAAGTGGGGGGCCATGGTCCCTCTGTTCCTACGCCCATGTTATATATCGTGGTGTAGAAATAATGAAACAAGAGGGTCTTCACGCGGTCATATTGCGACTTCCCAAAAGCTGCTGACGTCTCTTTATAATGATTTTGATTTGAAACAAAACTGTCTGCTACTTAGGAAACAGCGTAAGCCAAAGACAGCAAAACCCATGCAGCTGGGCATAGACACAGCAGTGTAGGGCCGTAAATAAGCATAGTTAAATCACGTCCCAGTAACAGTTAGAAAATCTTTTGGACTAAAGTGAAAACGCTTACACTTAGTGGGGCGACTGATCTGCCCCTGCTGGCGCTCAATACCCTGTGCCTTGTTACAATCGTGGCTGTGCTGTTCCGGTGTATCTTCCCTCTACCAAACAGCCTGCTCACATTCCCCCAGGCGAGTGTTCTCGGACTGGCTCCAGGTAGCCGCTCAGTTCCTGGTGTGACTTTTGACATTAAGTGCAACACATGCAGCAGCACGACGACAACGAGGCGGTATGCCCTTAAGGCGAAATTCCAGGCCTTCCCGTATGGTGTCTTAACAATCCAGGGCGGTGGGACGGCACGCAGTTTCCTCAAGCCCCCTAGGATTTATAAATCTGACCCTTGTTCGTGCTTGCATTCCTTAGCATGTTGATTGGGGTGACGTATTTGCGTCTCTCTACTGGGATGATGCATTTGAGAGCATGTGTAAACCATGGTTTGCAAACCATTTGATGGCATGAGAGCATGTGAAAACCGCGGTTTTTCAACTGAAGGCAGTGAATCGCAGCATTGCTAAGGAACGCCCGGCGCCAGTCGCATCAATCTACACATCAATCTACACATCAATCTACACATACCTGAGCATATTTTAGCTTTTACAATAAGCATAACATTCTAAGCACGCATCGCTGCTGTCTGAACTGCCTCGATAATGAATGAATTCAATGACATAAATTGAATTTTGGACTGATTTGACAGACCTGCGCTCAGCTGTTTGACGGCGATGCTGCTTGTTTCCATAGAACCCTAGTCCTTCTCGCCACCCTGGCAATCTCTTGCCACGAACCACTGGACAGCCGTCGCTTACTGGTGCGGTCAATGACCAGGCCGAAACACATCCATTTTATTTTCGTCCAACACAACAACGGTCAACAGGAGGTTGAAAGGAAAGGGAACAGCCAAAAGATGAGTTCTCAAGGAACTGCAAGACATGCGAGTACCGCATAGTTGAAGTGCTTGTGGCATTTCACACCGAATTTCACTTTCATCGCACGAGAAGAGACGCAGTGCTGTTTAAAGCACACCGTCATTGCTAGTACAGACATGTACATGCAGTAGCTTTCTGGCCCCACGCAGCTGAAGCAATGACCATTAAATGGCTACACAGTAGAACACAAAGCACAAGTGTTTCCACTCGGTCTACATGAAAAGTATATATACGACACCTCACTCGCTTAAATTATCATAATGCCAAAACAGACGTCAAATAACAACATTTGTCGTTAACGGTATTGTTGGCGAGTGTTCGGTGGTGGTGCTGAGGTTTCCGGGCATTGTCACACAGGGCCGAAGGTGAGCGTACAACGGAGCCAGCGACAGCTCATCCCATTACAACCATCAGGGCGTGCTGCACCGATTCCAGTGAATAAGGGACCAACACCGAGCACATGGCTCCAGCGGCGCTGGACTTGCATGACAGACGTGGAAAACTTCAGTCCAGCCTTACTACGCGAAAAAAGCTTCAACAAATACGCCAATAACTCACCAACATTTTCTAGGCTAAAATGAAAATGTTTGCTTTCTAGCGTGCACGCGCCTAGGACAACACGCTGCACGCTGCATGCGAAACAAAACCTGGTGATACAATAATGCCATACCTTGGACATTGCACAACTTGACTTTCTACAGATTACCCAGTTTCGTCTGCGTATGTGTCGGCGCACGGAGCGTCGCGCCTGCGACGGAGCGTCGCGCCTGCGACGGAGCGTCGCGCCGGCGGCGTGAGTGGGCTCAGGTCACTCCTCCGCGCGCCACCGCAGCGTCCGGGGCTCCAGCCGCCGGTCAGGGCTCACTGGGCCGCGGGCAGGCCCCGGGCCCACCCGACCCCCCACGCACCGGCACAGCCAGCCGCCGGCCAGGGCTCACTGGGCCGCGGGCAGGCCCCGGGCCCACCCGACCCTCCACGCACCGGCACAGCCAGACGCCGGCCAGGGCTCACTGGGCCGCGGGCAGGTCCCGGGCCCACCCGACCCCCCACGCACCGGCACAGCCAGCCGCCGGCCAGGGCTCACTGGGCCGCGGGCAGGCCCCGGGCCCATCTGACCCCCCATCCCACGCACCGGCACAGCCAGCCGCCGGCCAGGGCTCACTGGGCCGCGGGCAGACCCCGGGCCCGTCCGACCTCCCACGCACCGGCACAGCCAGACGTCGGCCCTCGTGCACCGGCCGGGTCGGTGGCCGGGAAAGGACGTATGCACTGGGGCTGACAAACGTCGGACATGACTCCGTTTGCTCGCCTATAGACATGGAGGCAACACTTGACGTCATCGGACGAGATAGCCGGCCGGGCGCGAAGATCTCGCGTCCACCAACGGGTTACACAACCACGTGGGGGAGCTGACACGTCGAGGAGGGGCGCGCGAGGCTGCAAAAATACCGTGCTCTGCTCGCCGGCGGAGGCGCGTGCCGTCCCTACTGGCAGCGTCCGGACTGGGACGCTCCATCGTCGGTCACCCACACTAGCCGGGCATTCGAACGCACGGCTCACACCCCTTACCGTAGGTCACGGCCCCCAACGGCAGGTGTCGCACGCGCCGCTGCGTCGCTTTCCACGTGGCTTAGCAGTCGTGTCTAATCGCGTTACAAGAACCAAATCACCGTGCAGTCCAGTACAGCAACAGTCCACTACACCACACCTCAGCTGGCCTGGCCAAGTGACACCTGAACCGCTTCACTAGGGGCCACACCGCCGCCGGAAACACGCCACGTCCGCCTGCAGTGGCTGGTTGCGGCGATCCGTCCTCAGGACGCGTCCACACAACACTCCTAACTATCGGGGGACGACCGCCGGCCGCGGCTCCGTCCCGACCTCACGGCATCTGGACCGCCGCCGGCGCGTCCGCTCAAGCCTTTCATCCCGCGCCGCGCTCGCAGTCCTCTGCACTTGACGGCGGCGCATGCGAGCTCCACTTCGCCAGGCGTGGCAGGTTCGTAAGCGCTCCAGTCCGCCTCACGAGCCACAGCGGCCGGGGTTGGCCCGTCCGCCACCCCAGCCTGCCGGCCCGAGTGGCGGTCCGCCGCCCCAATCCACCGCCCAGCCGCTGTAGCAACGGCCCGCGCGACGTGCCTACAGCGACTTCTTCCTGGCGTCCACGCCGTCGGCGGCGGCGGTGGCGGTGGCGGCAGCAGCGGCCAGCGTGGGCGACTTCCGCACGCCGGCGTAGTAGTTACGGCTGAGATTTAGGTAGAGCAGCGAGACGCCGGCGGAAAGGCCGCGCAGTGCCAGGTGCACCAGACTCCAGCGGCCCCAGTCACCCTGCCGACAGCACACAGCGAGGCGTTCAGCAGAACTGACCCGCCGAAGGACGCTCCAGACAACAGGGCTAGCAGCGGATTCTCACTGGCCGACAACCAGTGGCTGGCTGTACAGCGAGGCTGGCGGCGGCTATAAGAGCAGTCAGCAAATAACTGCTCACCTCACACATTCATCCACACATTCAAGGCCACAAAGACGTCACACAGTTGACATGGGTGTACTATCCTCGCATACTGAGCGCATATCTAGACGGTGGGATGCACACATGCACCTTTCTATGATCGAAAGAGTCTTGATTGCTTCGCACTGCTCTGGCTTTCCTGTAGTGTATGTGTGTGAGTGCTCGTCCGGCGAGTTACGATCTACCAGAAAACGTCCATCAATATTCCATACGCATCGATCAAAAGCACGCCTATGACTCGATGGGTGCTTCCAGATTGAACGTTACTACGATAACGTTTGCAAATGGTATCCAGCACGTTTACGTCTGACGGCTCACGAAGCGCCACGCACAGATCATGCCAAATGGCGAGCTGGCTGCGCTGACCCCGGGCATGCGGGCTCGGCTTCCCGCCGTCGGCATCGCTGACACTGCATTACAGCCGCGCTGCCCGCCGGTCACATTTCCCAGAGCTGCACTTTATCAGCAGCGCTGAACGTCCCGGCAGCCAACATCAATCGCTCAGAGGTACGGCCTGTCAGGTCACCCAGCGCCGGCCGCGATACATCGGTGTGGGGTAAGGTGGGCAGAGATAAAAAACCATCCGTCCACCCGCGAGCGGGGGAGATTCATATCAATGCCTCCCCTTCATGCAAGGGGACTGAACGCTCTCATTGCTCAACTTTCTATTTCACACCTTTTTTGACGAAACGCCATTGCGATGAAATTGCGCACATCACAACACTGATGAAGAAAAGTATGTTTTAGTACCCTAAAACGCTTCCAGCGCTGCCATGTGGGGAGACAGTTTGAGGGTAAGTTGTGGGCACACTCCAATTTCTCCCAATTTTTTGAAGGCTCATTTCAGTTCAGTCATCAAAATATTCCTCGTCCTTATTACGCTGTCTCCCCAGCGTACAAAAGTTGACCGTTCACCGGAGATGTAAACTCATCACAAGAGCCATACATGATGTCATGTAACTGTCGAACTGAGTTTGTGCATCGCCTCTGTTTAATGAAAGAATCGAATAGGTTATTACATTAATAAATGTAGCTTAGAATATCTTTCTTATTGACAAAAACGATATAATGTAGCAATAGTGATCCAAAACCCAATGGCATCATTATCATCTTTGTGTATCATTTCGTTCTTGTCAGAGTGGCGCGGTGTAACTTAAAATGCATCCTTTCGGCATCGAGTATTGTCAATGATCTGGGTTCGTGTCCCGGTGTTTGTCTTGAAAGAGGCATTGCGAGGAGCTGGTAAGCAGGTAACTTTGAATGTAGCATTTGGTGTGTGAGAAGCATGAGTTGTCAGCAGAAGCTAGCAACCCGCACGCCTTGGTCGAGGCAAGTAGAAAGGGCATATCGAATTTTGCACAAGTACCTGTCCAACAATGTGTAGTGGGTATGTCTGTGAATGGGGCATGGGACTGCATATCTGGATTCTGGGTTTTTATCATGTGAACATCTTCAGTTCACATAGCTTGCAGGCTGGCTGATTGCTTGAAAGCAATTTTCACTAGGTAAGTTGAGTTACCTAGACCTTACAATATCAACATATCATTGGATTATTGTGTATATGGGGCAAGGGATGGTATACCATACACTTTTTCAAAGGCAAATAATAGGAAGTCCTTGAAACCATTTATATTGTTAGTATTATTGTAGGCTTGTTGGCTGATAAGAAGAAAGTACACTTCAATTCTCCAAAATTTATAAAAGGTAGAATGTCTTTGAATACAAAAATCAGCAAGCTGCACACTTGAGATCTGGCTTCCTTTCCTGGCTACACATCATGCTGACCGTTGCCCTGATACAGCCAGTGATTCACCCCGTAAGCTGGTTTGAGGAAACCTCTTTGACATATTTTACAATCGTGCTCAAATTTTAAATATTCTATAGAGATTCCATTACACGTGTTTTGACACCAGAAACGTGTTCCTAGCTGCTATGATTTCGGAGCAGTGGCGGTTTTTGAAGAGCACTGCACGGCGGTCTGCGGCCAGCGCTGGCGGCAAACGGCAACCAGCGATGCCGCCGAACGCGTGGCAGCCGGCAACGTTACATTAACGAAGTCATATATCATACATATATGCCCAAAACACATACAAATATACACCATTGTAATAAGGCTTAAACAATGCATACACCTCTTCAAATGTCGTGTTCCACTGGGCATGGTCTCATAGGTAAGATGTAAAGCCGAAAAAGCCCGATTTCCAAGAAACCTTTGGCGTTTGAGTTGCCATAATGGGGCCAATTATCAAAACTAACAACATGAAAACTAGTACCGATCGCAGAACCCCGTTGAGACAAATCCACTGGTGTTTTCCGCCAAGCTTCATTAATGTGTAAACGCCAGGGGTCGGGTGTCCCATCCCCCCCCCCCTAACATCCCCCACGAACAGTGACTAAGACTACTTCTTCTTAATTGCCAAAGTTGAGACCCCTGGCGGGTTCGCAACGCGAGAAGGAATATATTTATCGTCAACGCTTTTTAATTGGCAAAGTTTCAAAACAGGCTGTTCTTGCCTTCTGCCGCACGCCTAGTCTAAATTCCTGTGCAACTCCAAGTTTGTCCACAGTCGTTGCGAAGCCAGCACCTCAGCAGAGATGTCGGCTTTCATAGGATATGAAACGTGCCCTACTTACAACGTGAGGAGGACGTAGAACATTAACAACGAGTCGACATTTTAAAGTCCACCACGAAACCTTTCGTTGGGTTGAAGTGCGCTGCAAGGGGAGATAGTCACCCAGTTCGTCTTCGTGGATACAGAACACAATGATGACCCAATACCATCCGTAGACATTGGTTTAAATAGGAAGTATCGATACATAGCTTGCCATATCACATTATGTTTAATACCGATGAAAAACAGTAGTGAAAATACCGAAAATGACTCGATTTGTCTCGTTTAGGCGGAATGTTTAACATTTCAAGACATGGAAGCCAGCATAAAGTATGAAATAAGCTCACTTGCAATTATTGGTATCCTTTTAAATGCAAAAACTGCTCTGAACAACAAAGTTGACAATTAAGTAACCAAGTTCCCCAACACGTCATCGTCTAATTACGTCATGAAATGTCTGTATGACGTGGGATTCGCGGTCAGATGGCCTTGTCAGAATTGCCATTGTAGCGGGCAGCTTGACTGACTTGGAGTGCTTCAACCTGCCAAGAGGTGACGCACGTGTTCACACGTGTTTGCCAAATCCTAGTATGGTTATGTGAGCGCGTTTTGCCCCTTCAACGTGCTGTTCTTGCACATTTGTCCGGGATGTTAGATTGTGCACTTGCAGTCGCATACTAGGTTACGGTGTTGTTCTTAAGCTATTCCAGTCCCTGGGAATGGAATAGCTCAAGTGGGCGGGGTCGGTCGGTGGGCACGTGCTCAACAGGACATGACCACACACTGCATAAGTATCCGGCCCGAAGAAGAGCTCGGCGAAAAGCCACCTTAATACAGCTTGCGATAGCTACAGTTCTTCACGAACACTCATAGTTTACACCGTGTTAATGATAAACCGTTGTAGATGTATGCGAAAGATTTGGCGTCATCTGAATTTCCATCCGCGTGGGCAACGAGAAAGCAGGCGACACTTCGAAGACGCGGCGTGACAACATCAATTCGCCACCATTCATGTGGGTGCTGACGGAAGATATGACGGCTATCAGACGAACAGACGTATCTGTTCGTGATCCAAGCGAGCAAAACATATGTCTACGAATGGGAACCGTTCCACTAAAGCAACCGAATTTAAAAGCTGCACTTTACTCGTCGTGGTTTAGGGACACCGAAACTGTACATTCCAACAACTGTGATGCATGTTTTTGCCGAGGTGTGCGAAGACGATGGCAAACCTTTAAACACATAAGCCCATGGGAGCATAAAAGCCCATTCAAAGGACATTAGTTGTTACACCCCACAAATGGATCTGTAATAATGTGAGGAACTTCAAGATGCTGTATCCACAATTGCAATCAAAATGACACCCAATTTAGGATCACGGCTTTGAATTCCCGATATAGATAACGGAGCGGTAGATGGGGAGTTACGCAGAACAGAACGCGTGATTTGCTGATGATTTATTGATTGCACTAGATTGATGTGCGTCGGTGGTATCATGCCGTTGGTGCAACGTACTCAAACCATCAAACCACCTTCATCAGCACGGCACCATACCTTCGGCACCGGGGCGAGGAGACGGGCAAGTTGACGCCGCGATCCACGGCACCCAGACTAGGCACAGCACCCAGCTAAATGCTGCGGAAGTTAAAGTGGCCCGGCGGAATGCCATGGAAGTTAATGTGCCCCTGCAGAATACTATGCAATTTAGGATCACGGTTGATGGCTTTGGGTAACCAGTCGCCCAGCAGCGGTGGCAATCTAGCACAATACTGGTGCCCTTCAGAAGCCGGGGCTGATAAAATTTGAACACGGAAGTGCTCTCGGCGCATTGGGAGAGGCGGGATTACTGCTACCATAAGGCAATGCGATTGTAAAGGTGACATACTTATAGCGTATCAAATCACGACGACGTGACCTTGGAAGTTCGCGAAGTGGCACCGAAATATCTCCAACACAAAGTACTGACCTGACCCATCTCCGCAAAAAGGGGGTGGTATGCCTTAATACTGATTTCATACTGATAGCTTCTTGTATCTACCAGTTGATGTTTGTTCCTCATAAGGAGACAAGACAGCAGCTATGCTCCCACATGTTTCGACTTGGTTTGATCCCACTTCAGAGGGCTCTGGATCGGCAGTATGCTCTGTTAATCTTCACCGACCCCAGGTAATCAACGATCACCATCAACAATTTAAACGTCGATGGGT